GCAAGAAGACTGGGAATTTCTGAAGGCTCCATACGTTTCAACCTGCGAAAACTTCGTCTGCGAGGTAGTATGGGCAATCGTCGTCGATCAGGTCGACCAAGGCGTACAACGCAACACGAAGACCGGCTACTCATCAGGTCTAGTTTAGTGAATCGGTTTCACATTGCCTGTGATTTGCGTGCCAATTTTAATCAACTCACTGCGAAAAGATTGAGTTTGAGCACTATAAAATCAAGACTATACAAGGATGGTAATCTTCGCAGCTGTGTTGCAAAAAAGAAACCTAAACTACAACCTTGACACATCGCAGCGCGGTTGCAATTTGCCAGACAACACATCGATTGGACTCCGGCGCAGTGGGCTCAAGTTATCTGGTCGGACGAATCAAAGTTTACAGTGTTTTGTAGCCGTGGAAGATGAAATGCATTAAACCTACAATAAAATTTGGTGGTGGTAGCGTCATGGTGTGGGAATGTTTTTCGGCTACCGGCTTAGGGTCGCTAGTCCGTGTATTGACGACCATGAACCGATGGAAATATTTGGATATCTTACAAAACGAAATGATACCATCGGCACTAAGACTCGTTGGACCCAATTTTCATTTCCAACAGGATAATGCCCCCGTTCACACAGCATTGGCAGTGAGGGATTTTCTAAATAATCCACAAGAGTACGGATATCTTTTCGACAATTTTACCACTTTGAATTGGCCTGCACAGTCTCCAGATTTGAACCCTATTGAGAACCTCTGGGAAGTGATCGATTTAGAGGTGCATTCCCGACCAGTCGCTAACATCGAGGATTTATACGCGAGTATAATGGAAGCTTGGGGACAGTTCCAGGTGAACATGTGTCGGAAACTCGTCGATACCATGCCAAAATGGCTCAGAGAAGTCATTCGGCAAAGAGGTGGACACACGCATTACTGGCAATCGCCGCGTTCTATGTCTCATGAATATTCATGAGCTTGCGTTTACACAGTATTCTCCATAGAGAATTCGAACGTTTTTTCACTGTTTCGTTCAGACTGCCGTTTTTATTCAATCTTGCATGACAATGAAAATTTTGTTGTTTTTATTGTGTGTAAAAACGCACATTTTATTAGATATATAAATATATTTATTCAAACCGTTATTGAGTTTATTTTATTGAATGATATCGTAGGTAGTAACTGCGTGTAGTGTGGTGCGTAAATACTTTCTGGCGGATCTGTATATTAAAGCAGAAACGATAGTTCTCTTTTTGAAATATATCGTGGCCCTAAAAAGGGCCGGCCGTTTGATTTGTGCTTCCTTAGAAACGATTCAAGCAAAGCCGTGAAGCAAGTGTCGCACTCGGTTGGCTTTAGCGTCGTCGACAATGAAACCAATGTTGCAATATTGTAGCAACCCGTACCTGGGAGAGTGGTTGAAATCATGTTATTTTGGCTTTATGAAATATTTGGTAGCAGCTTGCGAATCCATAACTGGGGCCAGCAATTTTGCAATGTCACGCCGAAGACTGCCAAATTTTTTACCCTCTTTCATCACCGCTATTGAAAACTATTCTTCTGTCGTTTGATAAAAAAAAAACTTCCTATTCCAAGCCCACCGCGATATCCATATAGTGAGACATTCCAACTGCCGGAACTTGCTGAATGATAACTTTCACCGTGATTGATAAGCGTCGAGTCTGACAAGAAAGCAATGTCACGATTTGACCTTTATGATGAAATACTAGAAGTGATGTCATTCTTAGCCAATCAGTAAAGCAGATGCATAAAGGTCAAAGATGATTGCCAGACTGTAAACAAAAGCATCGTGTGCCATCGCAGCAGAGTGACCCCATTTTTCTTGTCTCTTTATTGTGATTAGACATGAATGAAAAGTGCGAAGCTGACAGACTGCGAAATCCATGGATTAAAAGTGCTAAGTCCAAATTGTGTGGGACGATATCGACGAACTTCAGGAAGAAGTTGTAGGGATTTTGTTTGACGGCTAGAGTGACTTGGACTTTGAGGGTTTTGAGTTTGACGAAGATGGCAATGAACGTACAAATAAGGATCTGAGAAGTTTTTACTGTGTAAATTTGTGAATTATTATTGATCTTGTATGACAGTTGATTCGTAATTTGTCGAGACCGGAAATCATTTTACGCAGTTTAACCCCTGACATTTTAATATTCATTTTGAGTTCACGCGTATTGGACGTGTTTGTCGGCGGGAAAATCCTAATTCAAATGGTTCCTCACTGTCGATTTTTATTATTTTTGGTTTATTTGTCACATTATAAGCAATATAATAGTTTTGTTTTATTTCTAATGTTGCAAATTGTTCATTTATTTCTGTTGCATGTTTTCATTTGCCGTTCTATTCCCTGCCGCAGTTCGATCTGCGTGTTGTAAATTTCGCGAATTTTCGTTTTTTTTGCCGGGGATATCCTGGCAAACACCCACCCCTATTTTTTCCCATGTTCAGGACCATGGGCTTATACCCGGATACATACGAAAATACAGTGTATTTGGTGGTGTGTACACACAAACCTACAACCTTCCTGATGTGAAGCAAACACACTAAAGTACTGTCTGTTATACCACATCCAGGTCAGAATGAGAATGAAACTTACTCTTTATTTTTGTCATTTAAGTTGCCTCCTTTTCTGATAAGTAATTCTGTGGCTTGTTTACGTTTTGGATATACAGACGCAGCAGTACAATGCTGTAATAGAGACACAATAATGTGATTTTCATCTATAATGAGTCAAAATAAATTCAAATATGACATCAAATCCTGGTTTGAAAACCAAAGTCAACTTTTTCCACTTTACAGAATGAATATGCATAAATAATTTTTTTTAAATTGTTCAAAACTTTTGACTTGTTTCCAGCATGTCTATTTTTTCTAAAATTTATGAATAAATTGGAGAAAAAACACAATATGTGGTAAACATTTGGTTTACAAAGGTTTAGATCTCGTCCTAAAGAAATGTTCAAAATGTTCAAATTACAGAATTCAAAATGGTGAGCAAAAGGCACTTATGGTATCATACCACTTAAAAGCAATGGTAGCCTGCAAATTGCTAACCAATGGGTTTCTATTCTCCACATTTTTTTTGAAATGCTATGTGTGACAGCATACTTCAAATACATCAGTGTTTTGTTCTTCTGGACAGAAATTGGAATATTATTTTTATCTTTAAAACCTGTTTTTTTGATAAATTCTAACATTGCTAACATTGTCATCTATAGAAATCTAATTAGTGGTATGAGACTTATGCTTCTATCCAGCGGGATACATAACAGATCACTTGTAGGTATACAAAAGAAAAGTGTACTCACCAGGGGTGTGTCGTTGGTAAGTGGATGTTTAAAATTGACAATGTCTAGGGAGAGTTGTTTTTTAATTCTAGTAATATCAGCTTGTCTGCATGCCTCTAATAAACTGTGACCTCTGTGTTCAACTGTAAAAAGGAATAGATCACAAATTACTCTTACATCAGGTAAAATCAGGACAACAGAAAGACACAGTAGATAGATATACTAAAATGGAAATGTACTGTAATTTATTTAGTGCCATAGTATATCACATCCACAGATTGATATATACTATGTAAATTACAATAACAAAATACATGGGAAAACAGGGGCACAGGGCCCTCATGCCATGGCCATGCACCCCCTTACCCTGGGGAGCAGATCCTCTGGCAACCATAAAATTCTGAATGACCAGGGATCACATGTGGCCACAGTAAACTATGACCTGTCTGATAGTAATTTTGGCCCCAAGGAAGCCACAGAATGCTCCATTTTAACTATCAAATTATCAAAAATTCCACACCCTGATAGGGAGAACCCTATCTCCCCCACTTGGTGGCGCCGTTGAATTGCAGTGCTTTCTCTTGCAGTATTTTTCCAGAAAAAACCCTCCTGCATATATTATATTTAGCCTTTCTAGGTTGCATGTCAAATATTGGATAAGTACACTTACATTGCAATCTATCTTGTAATTCTTTGGTTGGGGCAGCATCATTAGCACTTTTCGAGTGACAATTAGAGATAGTAGGATCGGCACCATGACTAAGTAACAATGAACAGACTTCAATTCGTGATTTGGAAGCTGCTTCATGCAACGGTGTGAACTGCCATAAATCCATAGCATTTACATTGGCGCCATGTTTTAATAACATCTCTGTGACTTCATAGTGACCATATGAACAGGCGTTATGTAAAGGAACCAAACCACTGAAATGAAGAAAAGATATGAACATAAAGTTAAGTGATCAACATCAGTTTAATGAAAATCAAGCTATATGTTCTATCATGTAATGATAAAATGATACCAAAATACCATAACCAATGAACTGATTCCTGAGCAAAAACACAAGTTTTTGTCATTTAGGGAAGAGTAGGAAATCAAACGGGCGGTGCACCGCGATCATTACCGCGGTGTACCGCAGAACGCCGGGAAGAGCCGCGGACTGCTTATAATTAGGGGCCTTTACCGCTGTACCGGTCACAACCGCGGTCCTCGGTAATGTGTGAAATACGTACTTAACAGTTTCTTTGTTATTCCACGAGTCATTGTTTTAAAATCTGATGCTGTAAATGAATACGCTATGTGCGCTTGTTTAGTATTTAGTACATTGTACATGTATTTAGCGTCAATTTCCAAAGTGATGCGATACAATTTTTCATGGTACATGTAGGTATACCTTTATTACACTGGAATAAAGTTTACAATTGAAAAGAGGACGATTTACAAAGTTTCAGCGTATCCAAGCCGTATCCTGGTTCTTGATTGATTTGGCAGTATCATGTTCACCATTTGTGTCACACTCCAGAAAAAATGGCCAGCAAACGAGAAACGGGCGAACTAATCAAAACAGGTCAGGCTGTCTTGTCTGCATTGCACTGACAATGACATGATTATTTTCTGTTTCGTTTCATAAATCTTGCCTTGTGCATGTATTCTTGGTTGACAGAATCTTCTTTAAACAAAAGACGTTATTTTTCTGTTACATGTTCGTGTTCCATGGTACTCGTGAGTGTGTAAGGCATTT